AAACAGGTGTTGGAGTGCACATATCCGAATTGTGACAAGACATACTTGAAACCGTCCCACCTCAAGGTAAATTATTGTCGACCATATATTTTTTAATGCGACTAATGGTATACCAGCAAACTGCAATTGTTCAAACTTTCAAACGTGGAAATTGATATGCAATATACATTTTTATTTTTATTTTATAATCATTTTGAGAGGAAWGTTGGTTTAATGTGTAATCGTTGAACATAAATAGTTACAGAAATGGTTTTCTTTTATCAAAATAATTGATAAGATTGATCATATTTTTTTAAACTGTTACAAGTAAATAATAATAATAATAATAATCAATACAATAACATCCAATGAAGTGATTAAAAATAGAGATCGTACCTAACCTGTCATTCCAGTCCGTTAGGTTAGTCACGGCGTACTGTATAGGCAATACAGATACGTACCTGCATTGAAGAACAATATCTTAAAATATTTAACATAATCAATATAATATTATTGTTATTATTTTATTATTTAGGTCATTTAAGCTTTTTGTTCATTTGCATGGTAGCATTACAATAAAATTTTCATGTGCGTGTTACTTCATATTTTATAGATTTATAGTGTATGAGMTACTTGGCTGGTCGCAACGATATTGTTCAATTGAATATAGTTAATTAAGTCGACTAAAAAAATTTAAAAAGTTTAAAAAGTTTTTTGTAAATAAATAGTCGATTCATTTTTCTTTTTACTTAATCGARTTGAGAGTTAAATAAAAACTATTAATTAACCAATTCTAACTTATGATAGAATTTTAATTTGTTTTTGATACCTATGTAATATCAATACTTAATAGCTTAAATTAATAAATACAATTGAACACACGCAATTGCAGTGATAATAAGTTATAATGTACTAGTATATAGTATAGCATATCATTATGACAAAAAACTATATATTATTTGTCTTAAGTGTCAGAAGCCTAAAACCTAAGTAATGAGCTGGTCTTTTCGGCTTAAGTTTGCCAACATTATACATAGTAAAAACGGGTCTTTCCCAAACTCCAGTTGCAATCGTATGATTATTATTGTATTACAATGAGTGCGTTTTATCGTTCACAGGTGCACATGCGGAGGCATTCGGGTGAGAAGCCGTATGGGTGCATGTGGCCAGGCTGCACTTGGCGTTTTTCCCGATCCGACGAGCTGTCCCGGCACTGTCGGTCGCACTCGGGCATCAAGCCGTACGGGTGTGACGTGTGCGCCAAGCGGTTTTCGCGATCCGACCACCTGGCCAAGCACGCACGCGTCCACCACAAGCGGATGGCCGCCGCGGCCGCCCGTTTGCAGTGGCCGCCGCAACAGTGCCGGCTGCGCACCGCCGTACATCCGACCACGGCCACCGCTTCTACCTCACCCGTCACCAGGCGTCACTTAAACAACGTGATGGCCGTCCGATATAGTTGTCCCGAMGACGTGCCTGCGAATTAAACACTGTAACAGTCCACACAACGCCACTGATGCAGACACTTTGAATACAAAGTTTGATTTACCAGACGTGCTAAACTCTATTTTCACAATTTTTCACCATTAATGACGGATTCATTAAAATTATGATTTTTTTGAATTTTTAAATAACCGCATGTTAAAATGAAGATTGATTTTCAAATACAAAAGCCAATTATAATTTTATGACATTTTAGGAACGTCCTGTAGCGATTTAGATTTATTGAATTATAGTTATTGTACATTTTTAAGAACACATTTTTTAGTATATCATTTTGTAACTTCTCAAATAATATAAAAATGCTTGTGAAAAGCTCTGTGTAACATTTTTTTTTCGGAACATTACCAAAATAATTTCGTTATAAATTATTCCCGTGTAATATGTATTTATCATCATGACGCGTGAAAACGCGAATTATACAACAAATGTCAAATATACGCCGATTCATTGACATATTTTTGTGTACTCATTTTTTTCTAAGCCACAAGCATTAACTTTACAATGTCTTAATTTAGAAGAGGCTTATTCATCTAGACTCTAGAGATACGTGTGATCTATGTATCTGATATTGAAAAAGCCAATATTGCACTTTTTTGATAATTCCATTCACAGAGACGTTATCAAATTGCTTAAAGTGCAATATAAATTCGGCTTTATATTTTATTATGGCTTTCACGAAAGTCTAGTTGGTATTTATACCATCCAGTGGTTTCAAACGACTGTMAAATGTAGCAAAAATGGAACAAATAATTTTTTCGAATTGTTACAAACAAACTATATTATTTAGTATGTTACCTATCAAAATAAAAGTTAGGTAAAATACACTGCAATAAGGTCAATCGATAAGAAACGTAAACGGTGCCAGGATTATTTTTCTACATAATAGGTATATCAAGCTTTATACATTTCTTTATCTTACATAAAAAATAGTTACTCACCGGTCCAATGAGAATATTTAATAATAAAAATAAAACGATCGGGTACCTATAATAAATTAATAACTTACGCCGCATCAAGTTAATTTTACCGATTTTTGTGTGCTGGTAATTATAGTAGATAATTTAATGAACTAAACTTGAATAAACTTACTGAATACACATTCGTCACATGAAAGATCAGTTTTATATTTTTAATTAAAAATATTGTTTCTTTGGTAGGTATATACTCTATAATTTTTTATTTATTTTTGTTGAGAATCTGAACACAACATGTATTGATGTGTAATACAAATCATTTTGAAGTTTCGATGAAGAACGAAATTTCTATCGAAATATCGTCCCTTCCAGACGCTTAACACCTTCTTGATAATAAAACACGTTGAAGATTTAAATATTTAAATATTTATATTATGTTATTTCTATTTATTAACGTTTTTTCAAGCGAAATACCTAGAGGAAATGTGTAAAAACATATAATATCAGATGACTAAAAAAACCACAAGGCAATTTCGTAATAACTTTAGTTTTTATTAATTTTTTTGTTGTTTTTATTCAATTTTCACAATCACGCAAATAG